CTTTTAGAGCATGTCTAAGAGTAAAAGATTCTAGAATTTGGATATAGTTAGGGATAAAAGTACAAAAAGTGACAAGAGGCCGGTTTCGAACTCCGGAGGTACAGAGTGCGAATCCCGACAAAGGAGCAATTTCTCTCAACCACTAATTTTCTTGAACAATGAATTCATCGTAGGTTGCTACGATGAAATCAGTCGAGAAACAATTACCCAATCGCTAACCTATAAACAGTGTGGAAATCATAATATTACGATCAGAATAAGAAACGCGTACATTCAACCTCTCTGATCCGGGATGAAGTTCACTGTGATTCACCTCATGGCTGATTATCTAGCCTCGCAGTCACCCGAGGATGTCAACCCGAAAAGAAAGAACTATGGCGTACATATACTTAAGCGGTGGGGTTTCGTCATCAATGGGACAACGATGAGCGACGGACAAAAACAGTAGATTTTATGATGCTGTCGATCAAACCAATATCCTGCCGCATCACGAGATCTACATGACGTGATCGCACCGTCCTCATATTTTCAGACATTTAGAAGGTACTCTGAGAATCTGGAAGCAAAGGAGATTGAAACGCTGCATAAATCCGGACAAAAGGCAGGAAGACGCTGACCAGGTAGATTTCATACCAAAATTAATCTGCATTTTCTCAATTTATCAATGTTTCTTCTATTTCATACATAGCTAGTAAACAAACGAACAGTCAGATAATCGAATAAGAAATCGAAAGAGCTATCTGCTACTTGTTTAAGAAGCACTGATACATGACAAGAGATTGTTATTCTTACCAAGGTATTGAAAACTAGGCGTTACTAATAACTAAGAATGAATGGATTATTCTTTGTGTGCAATGACGAGAGTATGCAAGGAGTTACTTGCCAGCGTGGATGGAGGATTTACGTTTAAGTTCGAAACTTTATTATTGCTGCAATCGGAGGAATTATGGTCACGTCGGAGCTACGCGTCATTTAAAATACTCCAGCGTATATGCATACATTTACGTTTATACTGTAGCATTCAAGGACTACCAGCTTCTGAAACATCGAGCTTGATGTGCAGGATGTGGCTTTAGCGAACAAAACGATGTTAGGTGCAACTTACACTACAATTGCTGAAACACATTCAGTCATGGCCTGCTTACATGACCCATCCTTAGGCAACTAAGGGAAAAAGCAGGGCGCAACGCAGCGAAATCTGGACTTGCTGGAATTATGCGTTACTTGAAACATTCTCAAGATTTATTGAATTCGATTTTCTATCTGTCAAGAGTTAATAGACATGAAATGAGATAGAGTGACATAGGCACGATCGACTGTGATCTTGACGCTGAGTCTCGAACGAACTGAGAGTGATTCGGTGAATAGAGACTCATTATTGCTGTCAACCACATTAGCATGGCTAGATCATTGAAGTCGAAGTTGTGTTTTGTGGAAATTTCAGGAAAAGCAGCTATTGAGCTATAATTCTAAGCGTAATCTGTGTTGTTCTATGGCTGGGTTGGTGATGGCAATTACTCTTTCATACTCTGCCAACATTTTTCATAGTGACACGGTCGCTTGACCCATATAAGAGGGTCTGCAATCTATTAAATTTATAGAATTAATTATCTCGCAATTTTCATCGCCGTTGACTTTGTCTTTTGTTTTCGATAAACTAGGTTATTCTCAACTTAGACCAGATTCAACGTCATGAACAGAGACGATGCCGTTTGCACCTGACCATCTTC